AAAGAAGATTATTGCACGATTTTGCGTGATAATGCACTCATCTTCTTTAATTAATAATTAAAAATCTATGTGATTATTTGGAAAATGGTAGAGGACTTTTTTGTTCAATTTGACCTAAAGTATAAGTACACGACGGCAGTCGTCGCTATTATAACTCATTTACCATATTCTGCATGATCATTCAAATATTCTACAATTAATATCTCGATAATTATTGCGAATATCGCAAAACGATATGGGACTTTTATGTTCACCCTAACCTGTTCTACGTTCCCACAAAATGCCCGGAGGAGAGTGTGAGACCCTGTATATATATATATATATATATATATATATATATATATATATATATATATATATATATATATATATATACAGGGTGTTCCCAAAAGGTAGTACCAAATTTTAGAGGTATGTAGTATTCGTTAAAACAAACCAAAAACTCTTAATGAACAGTACTCCGAAAACTTTTTATTTCTGAGTTATGAAGCATTTTGTTCTGTAAAAAATAGAAAATAACTAAAATTTACAATAAATGTTCAATGTGCCCTCCGTCCATTTCAACACACAATTCGGCACGTCTCCTCATTGAAAATCGAACACGTTCAAAGATTCCAGGTTTATTCCGTATTTGTTGACAACAGTTTTCAATTCTCTGAGTCAATTTATCTATTGTATCAACTGGTGTGGCATATACCATGTTCATCAAGTGTCCCCATAGATAATAATCCAACAGATTTAAATCCGGTGAGCGAGGTGGCCATACAACTGATATGGCTACGTAATTAGGTGGTAATCGGAAACAAATAAAACAAATATTTAAAAACTGTATTAAATTTGCTGGACGATTAATTTAAATCTTTTAAAAACTTTTAAAACTTAATATTTTTCTTTAGGCACTAAATAAAAAAGAAGGGAAGAGGACAAATTATTTGTAATTTGAAAATTTTTGTATTTGTATTTTAAAGTATTGATATTTTAAAGTATTTGTATTTTAAAGTATTTGTATTTTAAAGTATAGTTATTTTGTTAAATTTCGACTTTCTACATATAACAAAGGTTCATTCTCCAAAAAAAATTTAATACAGTTTTTAAATTCTCTATTCTCATTGGTTTTAGTTTATTACATAAACTATGATATTGCTTACCCGTGAGATACGCCCGATAGCATCGGGTTCAGATGTGTTATACACATATACACACCTGTAGACACAAGGTGTCACAGATTACCATTCTCAAACTTTACGAGAGCGCAAAAAGGATTGAGGTGAGCAAGAAAGTCCCATACTATCTTGCGATATTTATATATCGCATCAATAGGTTTTGAGAAATTAATTTTAGAAAATTGCGTGAAGAAAGGAGAAGCGCTCGAATCGCTGAAGTCGCTCAAGACATAGTGTAGTTTAATTAGTCAAGAAACGAATGGGGGCGCGCGGCAAGGGGAAGAATAACGCGCCGCTTCCTGTGTTTATATCGTTGTGCTCCAACACTCGCCGTATCACGCCATTGTTGTAAGCATTAGGAAGTTTTGCAACACCGTTTTCGATACGGTAATGTTAAAGTACGTTCCAATATTCACTGCTAGTACTGTGAATATACAGTTTATGTTACATATCCTATAGATTTGCAGTACTGACAGTGAATAGGGAGCGGTGCACTTGGACACGGTGCATTTGGACACAGCCAATCACAGCACCGTGTGATTAGAGACATTTGTAGGGTCCCTTGGAACAGCGACTTGTGATTGGACTGTGTCCAATTGCCCCGTGTCCAACTGATATACACTCCAGTGAATATCGGAACGTACCATAATGTTATCGTATCTGAGACACAATATTGCAAAAACTCCCTATTATTGATGTTATCATGTACACGCACCGACGTTAATGCCGTCCGTATATCCGTGTGACTCGCCACTCACACGATGACGCGTCACTCACACACTGCTGCTTGTGGATGAACCATGAGCAGCACGGAGTGGCAGAAGCGGCTAGAGATAAGTGATCGTCGGACGCTTGGAGAGGGAATAGTGGCGATCTTCCATCCTCTATCGCAGACGTAAAAGCGAGAGAGATAGCATTATAAGACGTCGTGGACAGAAATGCCGTCCTAAAATATGTGTGACACACACTAAGAAAACGCTTGACTCACACTGTCTCGTCTATACGTGAGCAATACGCGGTGTCCCGACGACTGTTTCGCTCGCTCGAACATCCATGCATTTTTTTCTTGTTAACAAGAAAATTACTGTAATGTAAAAGGAGATATTGGGGAAGGGTTTTCAGGAAGCTTCGACAAGTACTTTTTAATAGCTGCTCTTGAAAAAAAAAATATTAGATTTATTTCGATATAGAATACTAAATCAATATAGAATACTTCAACAATATAGCGCTTGTAAAGGTTGTCGAAGTAATGTATTTTCAATTTTAGTGTTGCATAAACACGCGAGATATAATTATTTCATATTTTATGCGTTCGAGTATCGTTTCATCGTTATAAAATTTGGTGGCCCTGAAAAGAGCCGATTTTTACGCCTATTTCAAATAATTATTGTTCCTTATTACTATGGATACAGAAATGCGGAATACTATGGATATCGTTTCTGCTATCATCATCAAAAATTAACATTTAGAAACGTTGACTTCATGTGCATTGTTTGAATATTTTTTAATAATATTGTATTTATATTTTTCACATGTTATTTTATGATATGATTTTTCTGAATGTTGTTTAAACGTTTCAAAAACATTACAAAAAATATTTTTCAAATGTTATTTTAACATTTATTTGAGATCAATGCAACATCTTAAAAATATTTATGATGATTAAAAGCTATCCGCTCTTTTTCGTCCCTAGTCTGGGAAGAACCATGGCTTCAACTGGACTTTCTCGCGAACATGATTGATTCGATAACTAGTCGATTCAATCAAGTTATCGACCGTGCCGAATATTGGATTGATTATTGACTATCGACCTCAATTTCTTCGGCACAAAAATCGGCTCTTTTCGGGGCCACCAAATTTTATAATGATGGAACGATACTCGAACGCATAAAATATGAAATAATTATATCTCGCGTGTTTATGCAACACTAAAATTAAAAATACTCTATTTCGACAACCTATACAAGCGCTGTATTGTTGCAGTATTCTATATTGATTCAGTATTCTATATTGAAATAAATATAATATTTTTTTTTTTCAAGAGCAGCTATTAAGAAGCATTTGTCAAAGCCTCCTGAAAACCCTTCCCCAAGATCTCCTTTTATATTACAGTAATTTCCTTGCTAACAAGAAAAAATGCATGAACGTTCGAGCGAGCGAAACAGTCGTCGGGATACCGCGTATTGCTCACGTATAGACAAGACAGTGTGAGTCAAGCGTTTTCTTAGTGTGTGTCACACACTATTTTAGGACGGCATTTCTGTTCACGACGTCTTATAATGCTATCTCTCTCGCTTTTACGTCTGCGATAGAAGATGGAAAATCGCCGCGACTCCCACTACTATTCCCTCTCCAAGCGTCCGACGATCGCTTACCGCTAGCTGCGTCTGCCACTCCGTGCTGCTCGTGGTTCATCCACAAGCAGCAGTGTTGAGTGACGCGTCATCGTGTGCGAATCACACGGATATACGGACGGTATTAACGCCGGTGCGTGTACATCATCGTCATCTTCATCGTCGTCATCATCGTCGTCATTGTTGAAGTCATTATTATTGTCAACGCCATCACTATTATATACTCCGACATAAAAACCTTAGTTCCAAATTCTAATTCCAAATAAATTTACCGGTAACGCGTAATATACATATACCAGTATACTTATTTGTGCATCTCAAAGTTTGAAAATGGTGATCTGGGACATCTTGTATATATATTGATTATTATTAATAATAATTAATAAATAAATGTTAACTAATACTAATCCTAGATAGACAGAAATTTTTAACATAGCATGCAGATATTAAATATATATTATGTAACATATAATAAATATATACTGAGTACTTTAGCTATTGCAAATAATATAATTTGTTGAAAATATGATTGTCTTAATATCCTTTTATTATGTCATAATTTTAGTCAAATTATTTATTTTTTATTACTATAATAATTTAAAATTAATTGCGTTTTCTCCGGCAAAATAAGCAGCAATTTTTATAACATCAGTGTATAGCTACAATATTACAGCAATATTCATGACATTAAATAATTTCCTTTATGTACTAAAAAAATTCTTACTACACGAGAATGCATC